ATGGGTACCGGGTAGACATACATACATACAGGGGGCGAGGATTGGGGGGGGGCAGACAGGAACCAACAAGGAAGACTGTGACAGACACAGCCCACGGGGGGGGGGGGGGGGGGGGGGGGGGGGGGGGGGGGGGGGGGGGGGGGGGGGGGGGGGGGGATGATGTGGAAAGGGAGGGAAGTCGGGGGTGAGGGGAGGTAAGGGCACTTGAGGCATGTGCAGTGCACAGACATATAGTCATATGCGTATACACACCCACAGAGGAAGAGAGGAAGAAAGGAGTGCACGAGTCCTGGAGGGAGGATAGAGGGGGCCAAAGAGGGAGGGGCAGAGAGTGGCATTCACAGTATACTACACACCTTTCTAATAGTCTGCCAAGCATTCTTGCATTTCTGGACCAGAGTCCAACACTTGCAACTCCAGCCTGAAGCTCGCCAACCTCACCAACTGTGTCGGCTCCAACTCCAACCCCACCTCCCCATCGCAATCCGTTTCCCACCCATGACGTCATGAACTCAGAACCCAAAAACTCCTTATCTGCAACTCGTATCCAGCAACACATGGCCATGTGGAACACATAGGCATGCCGATTATCGAGGACGATCACCGGGGCGCCAGCCCTTGATAAGTGACATCGGACAACTTTCCTCCCACACCAGCTATCTTGCTGCGGCTTGTTTCCACTCATTCCGCCAGCCGTTCCCGCGCCACCAGCAGGCATGTCCCCAGATCCCGGCTGCTTACCACCATCGTCACACTCGCTATCCATCTCACACCTCAGCACCGGGCACACCGATTCCTGCAGAATCCGCTTGTACTGCTTGATGTCCCACACATGCACCATCCCTGCCCTCGTCAGCGCTAACAGGATAGAATTAGAGTTGCAGTCCATAAAAGCAACCGGGGAATCCAGGACAACACATGGTAAAAGTCGCCTTCCCCTGGGTGAGTAGACCTGTACATCAGTGCACATGAAAACACGGCCAAATCACATGGATTTGAGAATTTTTTGAACAATGCAGAGAAGATTAGCATGGCCCCTGCACAAGGATACTATTGAGAGCATGTTAACGGAGGCCCAAAATTTCAGACAATTTGTCATGCCATTTATAACCAAACCCCAGGGTCGTTTTAACCAAACTTGTCACCAATTGAGTGTTATAGTCCGTTACAGCCGGTTAGAGTCGATTAAACTCTTCACACTTCCCAAGCGTTTTTTTTCTTTTCTTTTTTTAACTCGACTCGACGGGCCAAAAAGAAAAAAGAAAAAGAATATATATATATATATAATTTTTTATTGTAAATTTGGTAAATATTTTCGATGTGACCCTGAGGCAAAAGTCGTTTAGTTTATTTTTGTGCATAACATAAAAGTCGTTTAGTTTATTTTTGTGCATAACATAGTTTGTTTTCGGATTTTTTGGATTTTTGTTTTTTCTGCTGGGACATCCCTGGTCCTTGCACGGCTGGGCCGCCCAGGAAAACAAGGTGACCCGGGCGGCCCGGCTGATAGTCTAGTACTCTAGCCTTTTTTTTTTTTTTTTAATCGAGCCTTTTCTTTAGTGTCCAGTCTGTGAGAATTTTAGCAGCCTGTTACAGTCTGCGCAAGGGTTTCACACTGAGAGCCACCGCCTCCTGCTCTAGATAACCCTAAAAAAACTTAGTGTGAAAGCCTGGCCATCTTCCTGAGCAGGTGGTTTTGCACTTGCATTTGTAGGCTGGCTGCCCATTTCATTACGTTGAAACAACCGAGGTTGAGACATCGAGCACGAAGCACAAATTTTTAGGCAGCATATTCACACTACGACCGCATTTTTGCACTGAATCTGTTCGTCATTTCAGGTAGGTATATCCAGGCAAGCCCCGGCACAGGTAATGTACGTCACATAGAGTGAATTGGTAGCCAAGCAGTTGACGCAGCAAATACATTTTCCCTTCCTTCCGAGTGTCCAGAGATGGCAATTAATGGAAACAGCCAGGTTGTCAGACTATCCTATCGCGAGGCATCGTTCTTGGCATCACAGTCTCCAGCCGGACTCGAACCGTTCAACCTTTCCATTTATAAATGGGCAGATGTATGAACCTTTCCTCCCCTACGCAAGTTCAGGTAACACGGGATGGTACATAGACGTACCCATAACCGAGTACAAATCGCCTCGATACAACTAGAATTACAAGAGTAATTGACAGCCCTGAGACATGTTCCAAAACAATGCTCAAAAGCGACCTTATGTACACTGTACGACCACCCTCTCATGCACACTGTACGACCACCGCCTCATTCACACTGTACGACCACCGCCTCATGCACACTGTACGACCCCCCCCGCCTCAAACCCCAAATTCCACATTCCAGAGTCAGACGATCCATAGAAACAAGGTGTGAACGTTGCCAAAGGGCTTATGAACATGTTTGGAACAGCTTTTTGACTCACCCACCTGCAGGCTTCCGTCACGACAAGCGACGGCCCAGAGCCGTGTGTTCCCTGCGATTGCCACAGGCGCAGAATCCAGCCAATCTCTCCATCGGACAGATCCCTCACTCGAACAAACTACCTCTGTCTGCTTCTCTGCTTTCCCACCGCCCGGAAGAAGCCCTATTCGCTCAGCAACACCCCCTCCAAAGGTCCCTGTGTGATTACTGTGAGCAACAGGCCTTGCCTCAAGCATCACAACCCTTGACTCACCCCTCCTTCCACCCCTTCCATCTTCAACATCCCAGTCGTCGTCCGTGTCATCATCACGCAGACACAGTGTTAAGGTCTCACTCCTGCCACCTGGTACAGACACGACAGTCGGTGCACTTGCCGATATTCTATCAATTGGCATGCCAGCCTCCGGCACTTTGTTGTTGAATGGCATGCCACGGGTAGCTGGTGGTGCTGGAGGAGGGGGAGGTGGGCCAACCAATCCACCTCCAAGACTCTTCTCCGTCCTCATCCTTTTCACAGATCCGAGCCCTTCTCCACGGGCACTATCTTCAGGGTGCCCCCTCTTCTCTCCAAGGATATCACCGCCAGCAAAACCGTCTGCATCACTCGCACGCATCACTTGCGCCGCACCACCCATCCCTCCCAACTGACCCCCCCCCGTTGCTGGAGCAGATGCCGAATCCACCCCTCCAAACCTCCGCGGGCTACCCGCCACTACACTGTCAGGTACTGATGGCGGGGGCGGCAACAGGGGCTCTGGGATTATAACCTTTCTGCCATCTGCCCGCCTGTACTCCATCTGCCGTACCTGACCCAAACCACGTGGCGGGATGCCATTTGGCGACACAGTTGACAATGATGAAGCCCCAACCAGGGGTGCACCATTCCCTACAGGATCACTCGGAGGTACGGTTGTCGCCGCAACCGCCGTGGGGCCACCAATTGCAGTCATGGTTTTCAAACTGCTGCTGCCTTCCACCTGATCAGCTCGCCCTGCTGCTCCCACAGAATTCACAGCGACAGAGGGGGTTGGAGGCGGCGCTGCCTTTTCCAGAACAAGTTGCATAGGGCTCTCAGCCAATGCCATATTCCGCAACCGCGTGTCCCCATACCGCTCTCTCTTGACCTCATCCATCTCCTGTGCCGTCAAAGGGACGCCAAGCTCGCTCTCCTCAAACTTAAAGACTGCAATGGTCCCGTCTGTCGAGCAACAAAGAAGCGTGTAGCCATCTGGACTCCTGCCACATGAGCAATCAGGGTGGTTCGGCTTTCATAAGTGCTAGCTTCCTGAGAAGGACCAAGACGGTGAGCACAGACGGGATCAGAGACGAGGCACACCACAACAAGCAACCCCTTACCACCTCCATCGCTTCCACATGCATGCCCAGCAGAATCACTGATAAGCAGACGCAATGATGTCACATACATGCCAAAGCATTTCCTTTTGCAACAACAGACGCAGCTATGAATCAGCGCACTCCGCGAATGCAGTATAATACAGGTACTAGCAAAATATGTTGCCGACAAAACAGGCCCTGGCTGGGGACCACAATGCATGTGATTCTGAGGTAACTACGTAGCCGAACTAGTGCGGAGCCACTTACCCAAACTTGGCACATGAAAGCAGAGCAGCTTCATCGCACGAAGCTGAATTTGCCACACCATCTGTAACCAGCAAGGGAGCGCATTCTGCAACCCAATTACTTCCTACCCTGGTATTAAACGACCGCTCGTCCCAAGCCTAATTTTTGCAAAACTGCTTGCGCACCCAACCCGAACGTGCTCAACCAGTGCGGGGTCAGGCCTGTCAGGACTGGCAAGCTCAGATGCACCAGCTTCCCCCATGAACCCCTCAGATGCCGGTGCACCTGGCTACTAAACGACCACCCTTCTCGAGCCTAATTCGCGAAACCTCTTGTGCACCCAACCCTGACGTGCTCAACCAATACAGGGACGGGCCTGTCAGCAGCGTCAGGCTCAGGTGCACCAGCTGGCCCCATGGGCCCCTCATATACTGGCCCGGGTCCAGGATGAATGAGGAACAGTGGCGGCTTAGCACAGCGGGCCGCAAAAGTATTCCTCCTCGCTCTATCTGACAATGCCACCTTCGATGACTGACATGCAGAACCAGCACACGACCTCAGACCCATCAGAGAGGGCAGGCTGACGTGTGCTACTAGGCTCTGCAGCCCCTTAGCATACCGGCCTTCCTCCTCGCACACCGAGCCTGCTCGCTCTATTTGGCAATACCACCTTTGTAAACAGACATGCAGAACCAGCACGGCCTCAGGCCTGTCAGAGACAGCAGGCTCAGGTGTGCTTCCAGGCTCTGTCACCACCCTAGTATACAGGCCTTCCCCCAGGATAGCCGAGAAAAATTGTCAGTCTAAACCACCAGTACTTCCTAAAGTCGTGCCCGTTAACGCGCCACGATTTTAGGAAACGTACACGCCACTACAGGAGCGCCCAAATTCATCCAACTAGAAACGTTTCTACTTTATTTTTTTCCGCCGCCGATCGCTGGCCGATCGCTGGCCGATGGCTGGGCCAAGTACTGGTGGTTTAATACAACTAGCTGAGCAGTATTCTCCCTCCTCTTCCTACGGGGCAATGACACCTTCGAATCCTCTCCACTTCATTCTTTCAGAAAAAAAAAGAAAAAAAAAGCAAAAGGGCAAACTGCCATGAGATATTACGGAAGACGATCTCCGTGGTCCCTCGCAGTTCTAGCAGAACCTGCTAAGCCGCCTGTGTGGGGACACTACCGTCTTCGAGCGGTCATTATAGCTGTAGTCGGTGCAACTTTCAGTCTACATACGGCGATAATGACCATATGTTCTGCCCGGGGCAAGACTGTACCCACCCACCCATACTGTTCTGCCCTCTATCCACTACCGCTAACCTGATAGGCTGGTCTTCTACTGTTCCCATGTCCTGGTTTCAGCATAGCCAAAGCCTCAAATCCCCACTACCCCTGCTCAACTCAAACGGAGATAACTGATTGAGCTACCCCACAATCCATTCAATTGAGGGTTTGACAAAGTCCCAGCTCATCTCATCCAAATATTCACTGTCATCATCAAGAATAGCAGACGACTAGTTTCTTCCCTGATTCCTAAATCATTGAAAAAGGAGATGGGGCATTTATTTCAGCCTCGCTGCTAAGGGGTGCAACACGTAGAAGGAGCTTAAAGTTCCAGTAATATCCATAGATTCCAGGCAGTTTGAGGAGGTTCCAGCCTACAGGTGTGGACAAGGGTCACAACAGGATACGTGAATCCTGTGGCAAAGGCGCGGTATAGTCAGGTTCGGTAATGGCGGCTGCCTCCATCGTCTAGCCCTTTCTTGCTCTCACAATGAATACGACAGGTTTAGATAGCTCTGGACCTGAGAGGAAAGGTAGATGCATGGCAAGCGGACAGTCAATCCTCCGCAACGCTGGAGCAATCAAAGCTGTTCAGGGGTCCTTCGGCCAGACGGAAGGAAGTGTGATGGTGTTCTTGCTGTACTTTTGACTTGCCAGTGGAATAGGAACCGGACTGATGCTCCCCAGAATGGATATGGAGCCAGGCCCATAAGGACCTGTTTTTCTTATATATATAAAAAAAAAAAGAAGAAGAAGAAGAAGAAGAAGAAGATTCGACACAGGCTCTTCTGCAGGCATCGCCTGTGTCAAAGGTATAGCAGCTCTCGCAGTTAATAAAAACATTATATTCTCTGTGCTCTCTTAGTAATTTTTCAATTATTTTTGGGAATTTCGTTTTGAGAGGTTGTGCAGGTTGTACCCAGCAGAGTACATATTCCACATCCTTTTTTCTCTTTTTATTTTAGTTAACATAACACACTGCTCCTATTGGTTCTTGAGGGAACACCATTTCTTTTCGCAATGCATAATATGATTCCTTTTTTTCTTTTCTTCCCTTTTCTTCTTTTTGTCTTTTCTTCCCTTTTCTTCTTTTTTTCTTTTCTTCCCTTTCCTTCTTTTTTCCTTTTCTTCCCTTTTCTTCTTCTTTTCTTTTCTTCCCTTTTCTTCTTTGTTTTCTTTTCTATTATTTTACTCACTCTGGACCTGTGTAGCACACCAAACATGTTCGGGTGTTCGGCCGAATGCCTCCCGAACGTGTTCGGCCGAACATATTAAAAAAAAAAAAAAAAAACTCTTCTTTTTAGGTTTTTGATTTTTAACTCCCAGGCAAAAGTTTTTTGTATTATTATTTTCACAAGATATATTTTTTTCAGATTTGTCTTAGAACTTTTTTTTTTAATATATTTTTATGTTCGCGTTCGGAGGGTTTTGGCGCTCGTTCGCGTTCAGTCGCGAACGTTCGGGTTTGGTCACCGAACCCGAACACGATGTTCTGGACCATTTCTGCACTTCTCAGTGTCATCAATACACAGATCATTTTGATGGACTGTTTTGAGATTTAATGCCATTATCATCATAAAAAAGAGATACACCCACACGATGGCGGAAATCAACACTGTCAGGGGTTCACCTGGCCTTAATGGGGGGCAGAAGGGGGGGACGGATTCGGTCGCATGAGTTCACCTGTTTCTCTGATTCATCCGTGTCAAGAGATCCGCCCGACAACTCCCAGAATGGAAAGAGGGCCAGGGAATTACGTCTTGGTTGGAGGAGGAGGAGGAGGAAGAGGAGGAGGAGGAGGAGGAGAAGGAGGAGGTCTTTAGTGTGGGGGTACGACATAGATTTATCCATTAGAAGAGTGAGGAGGAGGAGGAGGTCTTTAGTGTGGGGGTACGACATAGATTTATCCATTAGAAGAGTCCTAGATTAGGCACATTTAGAGAAAGAAGAAGAAGCAGACGAAGAAGCAGTAGAATTAGTGGTCTTTCGTGTGGGGCTACCACATAGATTTATCCATTACAATAGTCTGAGATTAGGCACACTTAGAGGCGTTCCAGTCTCCAACCAATGTGTGTAGCTTGCTTGCAGTTGACGCATATTTGTCTGCGATCTTCACGCCAAACTGCCACGGAACTCGGTGTCGACAAGTGTTGTAGTCATTTAGAAAGAGCGGAGTTGTAGCAATCAGGTTTTCAAAATGGAGTTCCCTTTAGATTAGGTACCTGGGATCGATCCTCCTATTATTCCTGCTTGTCCATCCTCATGGTTAAATTAAATGATGAATTCAACAGTTTATTTATTAACCGACACTCAGCACAATTTGCAAGCTGTGGCAAGGGCGATGAGACATTGAACGACTGAAGGAGACATTGAATGTGAGGTGATGAAGCAATCATTGTTGGTTCAGATAACCCGAGGCGCTGGTAAGCAGACGCCTGCGGGAAAAAAAAAAAAAAAAAAAGGCAGCCCCGGCGTCCCCGCATGTTGACGGACCAGTGAATCATTTTCTTCCTTTTCTAAAGAACAGGAGGAGAAATCTGAATAGTCTTTTTCAAACGACATCCGGTCTTGGAAGTATGAATAGATCAACCCACCCGACCCGTTAGTCGGTCCATCAAATGATGCACCGCGAAGCCTGTCTGACCTAACTGTGCACATAATGATGATGCAAGTCATGACAAAAAAAAAAAAAAAAAAGAATCCGTAACATGAAATATCCAGACGATGTTTAGAGCTTGATGATGGAGTTATTGTTTGCAGGGAGAGAATGCATTGAATACAGAGGATTATGCTAGGGACATACATATTGGAGCTTGATGACAGAGTTATTCTTTGGGAGAGAAATTGAAAAATGAACTGAATGCAGAGGATTATATACTACTGACAAACATGTTTGAGCTCGATGGAGGCGTTATTGTTTGGGAGAGAGGAGCTGAAAAATGAACTGCATGCGGAGGATTATGCTAGAGACAAACTGACCAGCTTGCAGCGCAGGCAAATCAGATCTCTGGACTTCCATGATTCCTGCAACATATGCAAGAAAACATGATGCAGGAAATTAATAGGCAGTCCAAAGAGATGACCTTCTTCTTCTTCTTTTGAGAGGACTCTTCTTCTTTTGAGAGGACGTTTCTTCTTCTTCTTCTTCTTCTTCTTCTTCTTCTTCTTCTTCTTCTGAGAGGACCTTCTTCTTCTTGTTCTTCTTCTTCTGAGAGGACCTTCTTCTTCTTCTTCTTCTTCTTCTTCGAGGACCGTCTTCTTCTTCTTCTTCTTCTTCTTCTTCTTCTTTTGAGAGGACCTTCTTCTTCTTCTGAGAGGACCTTCTTCTTCTTCTTCTTCTTCTTCTTCTTCTTCTTCTTCTTCTTCTTCTTCTTCTTCGAGGACCTTCTTCTTCTTCTTCTTCTGAGAGGACCTTCTTCTTCTTCTTCTTCTGAGAGGACCTTCTTCTTCTTCTTCTTCTGAGAGGACCTTCTTCTTCTTCTTCTTCTTCTTCTTCTTCTTCTTCTTCTTCTTTGTTTTTTGAGAGTTCTTCTAATTCTTGCTCTCCTCTTTCTTTGCTTTTGCTCATACTCTTTTAAGACTTGATATCCCTCCAACGACTGCTTTTTCCCTTTTTTCTAAAAAAAAAGGGTCCTCATGGAACGTGGCTCCATATCCATTCTGGGGAGCGTCTTGGTGTTGTTGTTATTCGTTTCATCTTTCTTCACTTTTTCCCCCTCCTCTTTTCGTAAAGAGGAAAATCTGCTATCATGACGAGTTCATTCCTTCCTGTTTATCACCTACCTTTTGTGTTCTTTCTTCCCCCTTCTTAAATTTCTTCACCACTTTCTTTACCCATCATTCCTCTCTTTGTTCTCCTTTTTTTGTTCGTTTTAGGCCCCGCCCTATCGTCACCATAAATTTCTTATTTGAGGGGAAGTCCAAAGCTCCCACCAGTCAGTGCCCCAAGATGATCGGCAGCTCGTAGAGACAGTAATCTCATCCAACACTCGTTGGGCCTGGTTGCACCACTCGAAATCCACCAACATCGTGAATGCATCTGGACGAACCAGCTGTCCAGATGCACTCAAAATCTTGGCAGATGGCAAGTGGTGCAGCTGCGCCCACTGTGTCTGTAACATATTGCACTCTGGTTTGCAGAGGTGATGTGCTCAGCTGCACCACTTGCCATCTGGACAGACTTTGCATCTGGACACACAAGCTGTCCAGATGCACTCAAAATCTTGGCAGATGGCAAGTGGTGCACCTGCGCCCACTGTATCTGGAACATATTGCCCTCCGTCTCGTAGCGATTGCTCCGGTTTGAAAATTGAGAGATTAGGCTCCATGGCACGATAGCCATCAAATCTTTGCTCAGGGTACTGAAAACACGATGAGCGTCAAGCATATTAGTTAAGCTTGTTTTATTCTCCCCCCCCCCTTTCTTCTTTTTTCGAAAGGGCCACTGCCTTGAGGTATCATCATGGAACTGACCAGCCCCAGGTAAGTCGGAAATGCAATTAATTACTACCGTCTTCACCCGAATAGAATGCCCGGTTATTATCGCTGCATCTGGACTGAAAGTTGGGCCAAATGCAGATACAATTACCGGGCGTTCTATTCGGGTGAAGACGGTAGTAGTTCCATCATCGGGATTCGAACTCAGGTCTGTATTTCAACAGTTCATGGGTGTACCAACTGAGCTACGGTAGGCCCATTGGCTTGTGGTTTTTAATGGAATTAGAAGCGCAGTTGTGTTCGCTAAGTGCCCAGCAAGGCCGCTGTGTGTCTGTCTCCTGCCCTACACCTACATCCACTACACCCAATAGTTACTCATTCTTAGTCTTACCTAGACCAACTATAGCCTATAGGCAGGCAATGGTCCTCTAATCTTGCTATACGTAAAACAACTACACGCGACAGGCACCGACCTGTGCTATATGTGGTGGCTCCATTGTCAGGTGGGTGGGTCTGCACTTTGCGGAATACGCTCTACGAGCGAACACGGCAAGAGAGCAAAGCAGACGTGGGGTGGGATGACTGGAATGTTAACGGCGCTCAACGCAAAGGTAACATTTTGGCAGACAATGCCACAAGCAGAATATGGACCGCAAATGGAGAGGCCGATTAGGAAATTGTACATACCATGCAAGGTCCACCACAGGCTGGCTGAAGAAGTGCTTTCCGATCATGACTGGTTTCGGACGATTCGTTGTCCAAACAGACACCTTGCAGTCTTGGCTACCAATGGCAATGCAGTTGAAGACCTTGGTGTTTCCGCCAATCCCAAAACCCTTCTCCTTGGTCGCTGGGCCCGGGACACCTCCGTTCTGCATGCCCCAGGCAGCACCCGTCGGACCGGCTATTCGGCCCTCCAAAGGATCACCCACCACCCACCCCATCATGCACAACAACAAACCCATACCCGGGTCGCACTCAAGTTAGTAAGATTACCTTTCGCCAAACCCCAAATAGCCTACCTACCTTCAAAAGTCAAAAACCCAGTGTAACCCCCCAAAACAATTCTCCACCTAAACAAAGGGAGAAGAAAAGGCCCAAACATCTCCCAAAAGTTCACAGTGAGCGCCCTGGATGAATGTGTCTGGAATCTGGATACCTATCTCGTTGAGGTCCATTCTTCCAGGGGCATTGACGTCACTGTGAGCTTTTCAGCGGGGCAGTGGGAATCTCTGGACTATGTATAAATGCATAAAAACTATTAAAAAGGCTTCTCCCAACTATGTATAGGTGTATATAAAATTACTATAATAAAATTACAGGCCACCTCAAGCAAGGGACATTCATAAAAGGCTTCTCTCGACTATGTATGAGTGTATAAAAATACTATAATTGTATCTTGAAATTACAGGTCACCTCAACCCAGGGACATTCACCAAGCGACATCCGGACCATTCGCAATCTTTTCGAGGACAAGGAGATCATCTTCAACCTTCTAGCTTTCCAACGCCCTAACATCATCGGGTCCACGCGAGTCAATCTGGATTCGAACTCACGAATTATAGGGGACATCGAGATCACTTGCAATCTTTTCAAGGACAATGATTATCATCTAAAAACTTTTCAGTTTTTTTTTTCCGGCCCCTAACATTATCAGATCGATGTGATCCCGTCTGGACCCGAACTCGCGATCTGTTCATCAGCGATTACATGGGTGTTGTACCATTCAGCCACGTCAGCTGGGGCAGTTTCAAGTCCTTTCGCTGCAAATAGATAAGTGAAAATCTATTTTTAGTTATCCATTTGACACGATCTGGACTCGAACTCGCGATCCATTTCTCGTAAACTGTGGACATTAGCAGCAAACCTTGTACGGAGTGTAATGGTACATGGGTGTACCCATTCAGCCACGTCGCCTGGGGTAGTTTCCAAGGCCTTTTGCTGCAAATAGATGAGTGAAAATCTATTTTTGGTTAGCCATTTGACACGATCTGGACTCGAACTCGCGATCTGTTTCTCATAAACTGTGGACATTAGCGGCAAACCTTGTACGGAGTGTAACGAGGCCTTCCTGGTACACCTAAATAACCAAGAATCGAGATATTTCTTCATATCTAGACACATCAGCACCTGCACCCTTTTTTACTCACCTCCAGCTGCTGTTCCATCAGCTGTCCCAGGAACGCCCAAATTCACTCCTTGCTTGCGGAACATGCAATGATTGTACCGAACCACCACGACCGGAGCACCGTGGCCGACAAAGTCAAACACCTTTGACCATTCATCTCCTCTCTCAAGCACCGCGGCAGTATGGCTCGGTGGTTCATACGCATGCGTCGTTGTCAAGAAGTGGCCACACGGAGAGAACGCCAGTCGACGAAAGAATGTGCACCCGACCTGCACGAGACAGTCCAGAAGACAGCCAAGCAACAAGGAAATCCTCAGCAATTTCTCACACAGCAAAAGAGCGATTGAGCGACCAGACAACGGAAGAATGTGCATCTAACCGGCACGAGACAGTCCAGCAGACAGTCAAGCAACATGGAAATCCTCAGCAATTTCTCACACAGCAAAAGAGCGATTGAGCGACCAAGAAAAATATGAAATGCTCTTGCTGCGTCCCCATCTGTAACTTCTACAAAGAACTACTACCGTCTTCCCCCAAATCGAGCGCACAGTCATTACAGCTGTATTTAGGATTAGGATTAGGATAAGGATTAGGGAGACAACACTTGAAAGTACACGCCACAATCATAGAGTATGCACACAAGAACTCAGAAGAGTAATCACACAAAGACTCAATGAATAGACAAGTAGAGTACTCCATGAAGTACAATTCGGGCATCCACCGTACTGTCCACAACCCGCCGACATACACTAAGCCAACTTCCACCGCTGGTGACGGCCGCTTCCACTGGCACTGACCACTACCGTCCGGACGGTACGGCACCTTGCAGTCTAAATTGAGTGGTAATGACAGTGCGTTCTATTCAGGTGAAGATGGTAGATGAGAGACAGACACAGACTGCTTATACATCTCCATACGTAGCTTCAGTTTACGGTAGGTGAGAACCTGCTAAACGTTTTGACAGACGGGGACACATGCTGCTCCTCCATCTCCATCTGTAACTTGAACCACCACTACCTCCAATCCTCTTTGGCCCACCTCCAATCCTCTTTGCCCCAACATGGATTTGCACTGCGCGCTACAAAACACACACACACACACACACACACACACACAACGCCAGCGGTGCACTGTTTTCCAACCAGTCAGGTTGCAAGAAGTACTGGTGGTTTCACACTTGCATGGGTGCAACAGGGGGGTGCTGACGGAAGGGGAAGGGTCCCGGCAACTGACTGACCGTCTTCTGATAGGGTCCCTCCACTTTCTGGTGCAGACTCCAATCACTGGTATTCCATATGATGACACTCTTGTCGTCCGATTGACTCGCCACGAACGACCCAATAGGATCCCACGCAACACCTTTCACAAGAGATCGGTGTTCCGCCAGATGCGCCACAATTCCACCATTCGGCATGGACCAGACCCGCAGAGTGTTGTCGAGACTGCAGCTTACAAGCAAACTATCATCAGGGCACCACGCAAGATCGACCTGCACGCATGCAGAGGATGAAGAAGGGCAAAGCAATCAACACAGCCAAACCCATGAGAAAGTCAGGCACACTCTGTTCGAAATGAAATGGAGTGAGCACAAAAGCAACAGATCGCAGCACGCAAGATTGACGTGCACACATCCAAAGGATGAAGAATGGCGAAGCGATCAGCACAGCCAACCCCATGAGAAAGCCAGGCACGTTGCGTTTGAAAAGAAATGGAAGGAGTACAAAACCAACAGTTCATAGCCCTTGAGACTACCGTCTTCCCCCGAATACAACGTACGGTCATTATGGCAGAATCTGGACTGAAAGTTGCCCCAAATGCAGGCATAAATGACCGTACGTTCTATTCGGGGGAAGAAGGTAAGGCCAGAGTACAGAAGCAGGAGCTCCAGTGATGCTCCGAGCACAACGCAAAAACATCGGGCTCTCCCCTCCTCCTCCTCTCACGGAAGACTGACCCTCCGTATGCGGAATTCACCCCTGCCTTCCTAAAGTCTTTCTTGCCTCCAAACCAGTAGCGCCACGCAACAGCTTGGACAAAACGATGTTTCACTCCTGTTAGAGGGGTATCTCTCCCGCAACCTCGTCCAGTGTTGCTCAAGTACGTACCTGGCCCCGCTAGTCCACTTAACAGATGGACTTGCGTTCATCCTCACGCTCGCACACTGCGACCATGAGGATGAACAGTGCCATAGCTACCACGCTTCCTCCACGGCAGGCAACCTCCTGCTATAGCTAGGCGTACAGCCACCACAGCCAGAAGCTTTCCTTGTTCCTCCCCCAGCCTCCTCTCTCACGCGCGCCCGGCTGGCCCCCACAGAGGTTAACAACATCATTAGGCCGACTACTGTCTTCACCCGATAACAACGCACAGTCATTATCGCTGTATCTACGCTGAAAGTTTGCCCCAGCTACAGCTACAATGAACAATGACTGTACATTCTACTCGACAAGGCTGTAGCACTTCCAGTTGCCATTCCCGTGTGATTCAGCCAACCTAATAGCTGACGGGAGTTGGCCTCCGCACCTCTGAGGCCTCATAACCTTGTTGCATGAGTTAAGCCGCCAACCGCCTAGCTGCAGAGGTCCGGAACTCACTCTGCTGACCTACTTCAGATCCCGGACCTATCCTTTTTTTTCTGTCTCTCTCTTTCTTCTTTTTTCCAAACAGAGGACCTTACAGGCCTGCCTCAATATCCATTCCTGGGGAAGCATCACTTCGGTTCATTCTCCAGCAGCAAGTCCATAACAATACAAAGCACTGCACGGATCCACGCCTTGTTCCGTTTAGGCCAAGGGAACCCTGAATAGACTTATCCTACCTCTGACATGTCCAGATATCTCCGGACATGTCAGATACTGCCCTTCTTACGATGCAGTCGTTTTTTTTTTTTTTTTTTTTTTTTGGGAGCGTTTCTCGATTTATGTGCCATCTTGCGCAGGGGCCATGCTAATCCTCTCTGTGTCGTTCCAATCTTAACGGGGGATGTCCCGAAGGACCAGTCCTACTTCGGACTTACCAGAAAACCCCTACCCGCCTCAAAACCAGTTACTTTTATTCCCCCTGTACAGCCCAACCTGCAATCCGTTAGTCCAAATTTTGGGTCCTACTTCTATCTCCCAGACCAAATTGGAATTCTGTCCAATAAAGCTTCCAACTTTGCATGTAATGACCTCTCCCAGACTCCGATCGACACATGGGTGCACAACGTTAGAAGCCCCATGCGGAAAAAGGGACAGCAGAAAAAGACATGCAAAAAGTTATGGACAAGGACATAAACACACATGCTTCCCAAAGAAACGCAGTTTTCTCAGTTAAACGCAAGAGCAAAAGCAATTATTTGAATATTCCTTAGTTCTTTCTTGAGGTAACCTTTACTGTGTGTCTAGGGTAGTGGGTGGCCCCGGGGGTGGGGGGTGGGGGGTGGGGGCAGGGGGGGTTGGTCAAAATGTCTCTTCGGAAACATACAGGTGCAGTGCATGCAGTCCCCGACACTCCCATGGAGCACTGAGGGCCACAAACATGGGTTTTAACTTTTAATTTTTAAAAGACAATGAAAAAAAAATTATAAACCTGAGGGCCACAAACATGGGTTTTAACTTTTAATTTTTAAAAGACAATGAAAAAAAAATTATAAACATAAAAGACTCATAAGATACCTGAAGGGGGCCTCTGATACGTGTGAAAGGGATCCTATGCTCTCTCTCTCTCTCTCTCTCTCTCTCTCTCTCTCTCTCTCTCTCTCTCT